GCCCAATAGCGCCCCAAGAGGACCCCCAGAGGCGATTTCGAGGGCTCTTGGGGGGGGGGGGGCCTACCCTTTTGATCCTCCAAGATGGCCCCAGGAGGCCCTCCGAAGCTCCCAGGAGAGCCCCAAGAGAGCCCAAAGAGGGCCCCAAGAGGGGCCCCAGGAACGCCCCAAGACGCCCTAAAAGGGCCCCAAGAGGACCCCAAGACCCCCAAAAGAGCCCCAAGAGGGCCCCAAGATGCCCCAAAAGAGCCCCAAAAGGACCCCAAGACACCCCCAAAAAGCCCCGTAGCTCCAAGAAGGCCTCCGATGCTCCAAGATAGCCTCCAACGTGGCTCAACACATTCCTCCCCTCCCTCTCTTTGACCGCTCTGCTTCACTATGGGCGTCTCTGCTTTCCTTTCCCCGTCAGCTCTCGTGGGCAGGGCTTCCGAATGGGCTGGCGAGGATTCGCGAAGCGTAAACAATTACTCAGCGTCTCCCAAAAACCCCTGGCGACCGCCGGGGTCCCCGCGCCCCCAGGCGGCTCCGGGCGCGCGCCTGGGCACGCGCGGCTCCGTCTTGGTAGGCCTGTTTTCCACCACCACCGCCAGAAGTAGGAGGGGGAGGGGGTCCTCCTACTCCTCCTCTTCTTCTTCCTCCTCCTCATCATCCACCTCCTTCACTCCTCCAACTTATGGTGGTGGTGGAAAACAAGCCCATCACGTCTGATCGGGGAGGGCCCCCTCGCCTGCGAGGCAGGGCGCGAACAGGTCGGGCCACCAACCACACGTCGGGAGGCGCGGGCGCTCCCCTCGCCAGTGGGGCGGGGGCCCAGGAACACACAAATTCGCCGGCCCAACGGGCCAGAGGCGTGCTAAGATCTCCGGTAACTGGTTAAGAATTCTCTAGTTCGCGCGCGCGGGGCGGCCCCTGGGGGTCCCCGGACGAAAAGTACCCCGGCAAGGTCCTGAGAGAGTCCCGGGAGGAGTCCCCCAGAGCGCTCCAGGAGCGCTCCATGAGCGCACCAACAGGGCTCCGAGACGTCCCCGAGAGCCCCAAGAAAGGCCAAGAGGCCCCCAAGAGGCCCCCAAGATGGTACACGAGGGGTCCGACATGCCACAAGATCGCTCCAAGACGCCCAAGATAGCCCCCAGACGCCCCAAGAGGCCTCCCAGAGCACTCCCAAGAGGGCCCCCGGAGGCAAAATTCATTGTTTTTCCTTAGGTTTTTGAGAGATTTTGGAGCTTCCACCTTTTCGGTTCCCGACGCCCCAAGACGGCCCCAGAGGCCCCCAAGATCGCCCCAAGAGGGCCCAAGAGGCCCCCAAGAGGGCCCCAAGATGGCCCAAGAGGGCTCGAAGACGGCCCAAGAAGCCTCCAAGACGGTCCAAGAGGGCCCCAAGAACACCCCCAAAGGGGCCCCAGAGAGGGAACACGACACAAAATTTCGCGCCCTCGGCCCTAAGAAGCCCCTACGAGGCCCCAAGAGGCCCCTAAGAGGCCCCAAGAGGCCCCCACGAGGCCCTCAGGAGGCCCCCAAGAGTCCCCCAAGCGGCCCCAGGAGGCCCCCCAAATGCCCCCCCGAGCGCCCCAGGAGTCCCCCAAGCGGCCCCAGGAACCCCCAAAGCGCCGCATTGACACCAGGCCCTCGGGCAAACGGCAGACATGAGACCGTATGGGCCGGCGGAATGAGCGAAGCGATTCAATAAATACACACAAATAACCAGATACCCTATATTTTCTGGGTGTTTGTCTTCCCCCCCACTTCCCATATTTTCCCATATATTTTTCCGGTGGAATCGACGATGAATTGTGTCTGTGCGTTTTTGTTTCCCTCCTGAAATGGGGCGGGGGCGAGGGCTGCGAGCAGATCGGGCGCGGGCCAAATTCGCGGACGGCCCGCGTGCTGCTTGCTCGCGGGCAGCTCGGGCGCCCAGCTGGCCGCTCGAAGGCCCCTGCCAGTCTTTGGGCCCTCTGGGCTCGCCGCGCGGCTGCTCGGAAGCGCACGCCGACGAGCGCCAGCACCGCGGCCTCGTGCACCCACGCTGGGCTGCCAGCCCCCACGGAGCGCGGGGAACCCTCGGCCCCGTCGGGGCGCCGGCGCCGGCGCGAAGGCCGACAGCCCCCACACCGGGGGCGCTCCGCTCCAGGCGGCAGCCTCGGGGGCGGAGGCGCGGCCCGGGCGGGTCGATCCGCGAAGGCCCCGGCCAGGAGGGGGGCCCCCGGCGTGCGCCGCTCTCCGCGACGCACGCACTTCGGGGAAGGCCTCGGCACGCGGGAGGCCTCCTCCGCCCGCGGCGGCGGCGGCGGCGGCGGCGGCGACGGCGGCGGCGACGGCGACGACGACGACGACGACGGCGACGACGGCGACGACGACGACGACGACGACGACGGCGGCGGCGGCGGCGGCGGCGGCGGCGGCGCGACGCTTGCCTCCTCCACCGCACGGCGCCGGCGGGACCCATCGGCTTCAGCGGCCTCCGCCAGGGCCTCCGATGCGTGCTCGGGGGGCAGCCGCGCGCCTCGGAGATGGGAGGAGAAAGACGGCGTTTCGAAGACGTCGCCCGCACGGATATCATCATCAAGTCCTCCTCCTCCTCCTCCTCCTCCTCCTCCTCCTCCTCCTCCTCCTCCTCCTCATCATCATCATCATCATCATCATCATCATCATCATCATCATCATCATCATCATCATCATCATCATCATCATCATCATCATCATCATCATCATCATCATCATCATCATCATCATCATCATCATCATCATCATCATCATCATCATCATCATCATCGTCGTCATCATCATCATCATCAACATCAGCATCATCATCATCACCATCATCAGCAACAGCACCAGCATCAGCATCATCATAGTCATCAGTATCACCATCATCATCAGTATCATCAAAAGCATCCGCATAATCAACAACAACAACCACGACAACAACATCAGCATCATCATCATCATCAGCATCATCATCGCCGTCACCATCACCACCACCACCGACACAATCAGCGCCACCACCACCACAGCCACAACCACCATCACCACCACCATTATCACTACCATCAACATCATCACCATCATCATTCTTCGGATCAGCATCATCAACGACATCATCAATAACACCCTCAGCATCATGGTCGCAATCATCATTGACATTGTCCCCATCACCATCGCACCATCATCTTCACCACTGGCATCCCCATCACCAACAGAATCATTATTGCACATCACCAGCATTACCGTCATCGCCACCACCACCAACATCAACATCATCATCATCATCAACAACATGAGTATCGGGATCGTCGCCGTCATCATCAGAAGCATCACCGTCGACATCCTCACCCTCATCGTCATCATCAGCTGCATCCTCATCATCATCAGCATCAGCCTCGTCAACACACTCACCAACACAGTCGTCATCGCCGTCGTCAGCATGATCATCGACGTCGCTGTCACCGCCATCATCATCATCATCATCATCATCATCATCATCAGCATCAGCATCAGCATCAGCATCAGCAGCAGCATCATCAACAACGACAGCAACGACACCACCACCATCACCACCATGATCAGCATCACCATCATCAACAACAGCATCATGGCGGACTTTTCATCCACTGACGCGCGCCAGAGCGACGCGCGCGCGCGTTGGCGCCAGGCTCGCGCACCCCACCGCGCGGCCCACACCCTCCTCACAACAACTGTTTCCGTTCTGCCACTTCGGAAGCCATGTTTACACGAGTCTTCCGAAATACCAGGGCCAACAGCACGCAACCTCACGTGATCACATCGTGCCCGGTCTGGCAAGGACCACCAGGCGCCTCCACCGATCATCTGACGCCTCGTCGGACCGCGACAAGCAAATGCCCCGAAGGGCCGCGATCACATGCGAAGTGATGGGGCGCTGGACCTGCTCGCGTGCGGCGAGGGGTGGGCGCCAGTGGGGTCTGCTGGGCCTCTGGGGTCAACGCGGCCTACCCGGGCCAATCTCTGAGACCCCAACGACACGCTCTCCAGGAGAGCGGGGCACGGAGCTTCTTGGCAACAAGACCACGCACGGTCGGGGCCCAGGTCTCGAGGCCGAACCAGCGGGGACATGGCTGTGGGGGCACTCGAGGGAAGGGCAGCTGGGCCCGAACAGCTGCGAATGAGCTGTCGCGCCACTCGCTGCTCCCCCGCCATGCTCCCGCACGCCGAGCTGCACATTCCTCGCGGCAGTCCAGAGCGACGCGCGCGCGGTTTGGCGCCCGGCCCGCGCACCCCACCCGCGCGGCCCACGCCCTCCTCACGACAACTGTTCCCACTGACCACTTCGGAAGCCACGTTTACACGCGTCTTCCGAGATACCAGGGCCAACAGCACGCGACCTTACGCGATCGCATCGCGCCCCTCCGGGCCGGGGCGACTGGGCGCCCCCGCCAGTCGCCTGATATCCCGTCGGGCCGCGACCAGCAGGCACAGAAATCAGACGCCGCCCCTAAGGGCCGCGATAACCTGCAAATGGTTGGCACTGGACCTACTCGCCTGCGGCGAGAGGCGGGCGCCACCGGGGTCTACGGACCTCCCCGGGGCCAACGCGGTCCACCAGGGCCAGCCTCTGACTTGTTTCTCCAGGCGAGAGAGCCGCGCACCCCACGACCGGAAGCCTCCCTGGATACCACCCACTATGAGATGCATGCCAAGGCCAACACTGGAGAGCCTCCAATCAAACACCGCACAGGGAACCGCGAAAAGACACACCATCCGAAGAAACACCCCACACCTCGCCAGGATGGCTTACTAGCCGCTCTCATGTACTTATGATGGCTTCCAGCTATTTGCTGACACTTGAAATGGCTACCAAGCCACCTTCTGAGAGATTGGATGGCTTCTAGCTTCACTTCTCACTCGCTTGGAGAGTTCCCTCCACCGGCGGGGGTATTCAGCCAGCCTCCTGGCCAGCCATTCCGCGAGAGCACTGGCAAGACAGGGGCGGGATCGGTCGGCCATGGCCCCCCACCGCCAGCACGATCAGCCTCTTAGAAGAGTTCCTGCATTCCAGCGGCACTCGTGGCTCTCAGAAGCGCCCACCCCCCCGAGTCGCTCGGCCATCTCGGGCCTCCCGCGAGCCAGGCGGGGGCGCTGCAGGCCCACGGGAATTCCACGGACAAGACGGCCACCGCCTCCACGCCGCGCAATACTAGGCCCAGCTGCAGCAGGCTCGCCCGCGGCGAGGCCCGCATGCGCCAGCCCTGGACCCTTCCACGCGGGCGGCGCCACCTGCATGCCACTTGCCCTGCCCAAGCGGGGGCGCTACCAGGCCCGCAGGGGTTGCTCAGACAAGACGGCGGCCGCCTCCATGCCGCAAAATACCAGGCCCAGCTGCAGCAGGCCTCCCAAGCGCCTCGCCGGCAGTGAGGCCCGCAGGCGCCAGTTCTGGACCCTGCCACGCTAGCGGCGCCACCCGCTCGCCTCTTGCCCTGCCCACGGCAGGAGGACCACGCCAGGCCGCGGGGCCGCCTGTTCCTGCAAGACTGGGAGGGCCCGCTGCACGCCGCGGCCTGGGCCCCCTCAGAACTGCTCGTCGCGCTGCCCGCCGCGGCCTGGACGCACGCAATGCCGAAGCCAAGCACGTCGACCACACGGCGCGCAACATGTGCTTCACTGCCCAGGCCTTGGCAAGGCAAGCTTTTCACAATAGCAGCAACAATGCGCGTTGGCGCCAGGACCCCGTGCCCTGCCCCACAGGAAGGCGGTCTCCCCACCAGCCCTCGATGGGCGCACAGTGGCCGCGAGACGCAACTTCACGCGGCTTCCCACGGCGGGACACAAATGGCTCACGCCAGCCCTGCGGGGCCCTGCCAGCACGCTGGCGCGACGCTGGCGGCCCCAGACATAGCCCCTGCGGGGCCGTCTGGCGCGCCATACGACTGCGGGGCGCCGCCAAGGGGCGCGACCACCCTGCGGCATACCTCGACGGCAGTGCGCTGGCGACGGGCCTCGCCACTAACACGCGCGGCAGCATCGCAACCCTCAGGCGCAAGCCTCAGCGAGGCGATACACCAAGACCAGGCGCGGGGACTTGCGAAGGACGCTGGTTGCACGCAGGCGCCGAGAAATGGCCCTGCCACCTTGGCAAGAGCAAGAACTCTGACCTTCGGCACCGCGAGAGCTGACGAGGTGCCGCGCAGCCCGAATCATTCCCCAACGGCCAGAGCTGGGGTCCTTTACCCGTCTACCATCAGGGCTGTTGTCAAAGCTGTAATGGAGCCGTTGTACACCACTATCGGCGCGCACCTCGACACCGCCCTCGACGAGGGAATGCCCCTCGTAACCGCCGACGCTAGACCAGCATCGGGCGATGCCGAGGGCGCCGCAGTCGACGCCGTTAATGGCGCCGCCCTCCGCCCTGCCGCGGAAGATTATCTCGGCCGCGCTGAGCCTGCCCCGACGCGAGAGCTCAGCGCTCTAGCGAGGCCGCGCCACAGAGCTCTACTTGCACCGAGGTACTCTGGTGCACGGACCTCCTAGCAGCGCTAAATTCCACCAGCCCTTTGGGCGTAGGTGGTCTAGAGTGTTTCCTCTTTTACCCCTCCTTCTTCCCCTTCGGGGAGGGGTTTTACCCTCCCCCTACCCCCTCCCCTGGACCTCGACGAGGGGTTCCCCGACGTGTTGGAGCGTCCAAAACGGCCTCGGCGAGGAAGCCAAAATCATTGGTTCCCTACCTAGGCTCTGCCTAGAAGGGTTCTTACTGTCTTGGAAGGGGCCGGGCAGTGGAAATCGCCCCGGGCGGTTCCCTCGGTCCCCTGGGAGCCAAGCAAAAGCAACAGCAAAGGTAAAAGCAAACGCGCGGTTCCCCCAGTTGCGCTCCCTGGGTGCCAAGCAAAAGCAAAAGCAAAGGCAAAAGTGAAGGCAAAAGCGAAGGCAAAGCAAAAGCATAGCATAGCATAGCATAGCATAGCATAGCATAGCCTAGCCTAGCCTAGCCTAGCCTAGCCCAGCATAACATTGCGCAGCATAGCATAGCATAGCAGAGCAGAGCAGAGCATAATATAGCATAGCATAGCATAGCATAGCATAGATGTAGGTGTAGAGATAGATGCATATGTAAAGAACTCCCCAGTGCCCCGCCCTCATCTCCGTGCCTGCTTCTGCTGCTGCTTCACTTACGGCGTGGCGTCGGCGGTTCTGGCGCTACTACTGCTACTACTACTACTACTACTACTACTACTACTACTACTACTACTACTACTACTACTACTACTACTACTACTACTACTACTACTACTACTACTACTACTACTACTACTACTACTACTACTACTACGACTACTACTACTACTACTACTACTACTACTACTACTACTACTACTACTACTACTACTACTACTACTACTACTACTACTACTATTCGCCGCTACGAAAGTTCGGCCAAAATTCAACGCCTCCCGTTAGGCGACGGGGCCCCAGTACAACGTTGGCAGTGGGCCCGTTAGGCCGCGGGGCCCCAGTACAATGTTCGGTTGAAGC